TTTTGTTTCGCAGTTTTCACGAAATAATTCTGCCAAAAATATTTGTCTTTATTTTGATTCAATTCTATAAAAAACGTGTTAAGATTCAAGTTAATCGCAGTAGTTCAGCTATTATAACTTATAGAATGTAAAAATATAGTCCTGAACTCCAAGAAAGATTTTTAAAAAATCATTTATCTGGATCTAAAACTTCAAGACTTTTAAGACCTAGTCACAATGTTAACTTGAAAGACCCCATTAACTTAATTTCAAACATTGTAAATTGTAAGTAATTATGTCAAATATGTCATGTGCAACTGTTGAAAAAGGAGTATTGACTTTGTCATAATTAATTAGATCTATTATTCCTGATGCATAATTGAAATAGGAAAGTAGTTACAACATGTGTATATAAATAACAAAACAAAGCTAGAATGTAAATCACTTGTGCTGAAACACTAAGTCTTTAAACTAAATACATAGACACCTAACCCTGGGCAGTTTGCTGATGATTTTTATAGTCTTACACAGTTGTCCTAGCCAGGATTATTTTGAGGGAGACAATGAATTCTGCGTAGTTCATTAGTATCATTCAAGATGGACACACCTACTACTTACCAATGCAAAGTAGAAGTACTGATATGAGTAAAGTTGTTTAGATGGTGGTGCAATTGTAATATTTTCACCAAAGTTGCAGAACAAACACTTCAAAATACATAATAAAAAATGAGAATAATCAAAACGATTGCTACCTCGCTTGTGTAGTGAATGTAAAACATTAATCTGTGACCATCGAAGGATGATCTACGACTCTTGAAAAATAGTGTGCGCGTGTATGGAAGGCTTTCATGGATGGGGTCATTCAAATACTAATTTATATTCACTTACCATCCAGAATATTTTTCAGTAAAATTGCTTATAAGCACTGTAAACTTCGAGAGCGCTAAGTAAATCATCACAATATAACGTTTGAGTAAAACCAGCTGTATTTCAAGTGTGATTTTATAAAAAGAATTTAGGTGCTTACATCTACGACTTTATGATACTCAGGCTGAGGATCACAGTATAGAGCCTATAATTAAACCTATGAAAGAAAATCATCTTGATAGACGAGTTTAAAGACTAGACTACGTTGCTGTCAAAGGGATTCACTTTGCAAAGTACCAAATATAAGAAGATGAAAGAACAGTTTCAGTTTGTACAACCTAGATTGTTTGTACCAGACTCATTTTGCAATCTCCACGATACTGTAAAAAATAGACAACTCGATTTTCCCAGGAGTTGGATTTGCTGATCTTGGAACAAATATGTACAGCTGTATCGTATTGGAGCCCTTAGAACATAGATGAATGACAAAACATCTCCATCGTGTCATTTTAGTTAAATGGCTAAAGATGTGTACTACATCATATCAAGTGTACTTATGAAATTGTTTACATCGAACACTCGTAGAATTTTGCTTCGATCAAGGAAAGTTTACTGATTTTCACAATCGCTTGAGGTTCAGAAAAACATTGGTTTCACTAAGAACTGGTGTATTTAAGTGTTTTACACTCACAAAAAAGAAACCTATCATTCTCTAGGTATTTGAAGAACTTGTAACATTTCGCTACAATTTAATTCTTCGTATTGTTAGCCGACACTAGGCAGCTTGTACATAATTGAATAAATAGAGTTGTTTAGACATTTGTTTAACA